CAGAGATCTGACCCATCAGCATAAATCCTGTATTTCCAATATTAGATGATAATCAAGACACCGAACAGCTGCAGTACCTTACATAGGTATTGCTTTGATTGTTCTAGATTCAAATCTGAATCTAAAGGTACAATAGCAGTCTATGCCAGTAAGTCTTTACCACATACAGAAATAAAAAATGCATTTATACACATACAGTCAATAGGTGCATCCCAGTTTTCCATCTCTCCATCAAAAATGTTAACTTTTTAAAGAATACAACAGACCAAGTCCTTTGATTGTTCATGGAATGTCATTAATTTTGAGAATTACCTTCACAGACCAACAGACAAAGCATTAAATAAGCAAATTAAGGTATTCTGACCTCTAATTTAATTTTCCCTTCTTCCCCTCCCATGATACCAACTAGACCTTTGGTTAGATACAAATAGAAGGTGTAAGAGTTTTTTTTTATGATAAAACTCGCATGAGAAAGCACGAATTGTGTCATTTCTCCTTTAAGCACTAACGTTTCTCACACAAGTAGTCATTTCCATTGCTTCCCCTCTAACGCCGTCCTCCCTGTGCTAAATTGGTAGAGGACAGCGATTTCCTTTGCACCTAGCATTATTAAAACTGTAAAACCCTTGCTTGAAAAATTAATTTCAGTTGTTCTTCCTCTCAGGTATGATAATGGATTCTCTAAAGATTTTAATGGATTATTTACATGTGCATACCAACTTGTGTAGGAAAATATTTGAGCTTATCAGCACACTTGATGTGCACACAAGTTCAGTGCAAAGTTGATTTACCTCACTTAACTCTGTACTAGATCCCTGACATGGTTAATGATATTTTACATAAGTACTTGCTTTCTGTATCTTTTTCCTCTAATGGTCAACTCTAAAATGCCACCTGTCACTTCGTATTTCCACTGCAACAGCATCGGAAACAAGTCTGTCAAGGTTTTACTAAAAGGAAAGCAATAATAGAATAACTGGGTATTTGGAATTTCTGGGATTGACGAATTGGAGATATGTATCACTTCCCATCCCCCTCTCCCTTTTTTTTTTTTTTCCTCTTTTCTTTTTAAGAGTACAGATTTTTCCCCTGAGTTGAAAAAGTTAGAGTCTGCAAGGAAGGTTATAGAAAATAACGCATACTACACACCACTTATAATCTTTCTTCAAGTTGTTCTACGACTAAGTGTGCTTCTGCTCTGACCTGTTGGGGCTTTTGATTCTTTTTCATTTTTTAATTTTTTTAATATATGATGTATATGCAATGGAATAACATTTATCTTTTACAGGTAATGCCAACAAGACTTCTTTTAGAAGAGAAACTGTCAGCAGTTATTCTATAGAAACAACAAATAGTTGTGTTACTTGAAACCTATTTCTCAATCAGGATTTGGAGACAGTAGAAGAATTCAAGTAGTTTTTCCTTTTCACTCATCTTAAAACTTCTTCAAGTATAAGACCACTCCTATTAGCAGTGCTTGAGGACCCATCCCTGCTCTCAAATACTCTGGGACTATGTCTTCGCCAACAGCAGGTGACAATTCCTTCATGCATTCAATCTGTGGTACTAATTGGCACCAAAAGGCATCAGCAGCTATCTACCAGCAAGCACCTTAACACTATGACATTTATTTCTATACACACTACCACATACACATCTTGAACTTAAAAAGGAAACAAAATTAGACCATAAAGCACCGATGGCAGTTGTTTCCGAGGCACTGCACAACTGAACCAGTCAGCTTGCTGCCACATCTTGCCATGTTTAGATGCAAGTACAGAATAAGTTTTGTAGAAAGCATTTGTTTATCAACACATAGGTTTCTAAACAGTATTATTTGTGCTAGCAGATAAAGAAAGCCATTAGCACTTGAACTTACACAAAGTAAAAAAGAACAGCATGATAAATATACCTCTATAGCCCAGGCTCAGTACAGAGAGTGAAAAACACCCCAAGTTTACCAAAACCAAACAAAAAACCCAACCAAAAAATTCCCCACAAAACACCACATAACCCAAAACAGCCGCCTCCTTGGTGTGTGCCCATTCACTCAAGTACAAGAAGGTAAGAGAAGAAATTTGAGGAAAACGGATGGGGATAATACCACCAAGAAACCAGCAGCACAGTTTCATTTCTTGCATAATATATAAACCAAAATTCTTGTGTATTCATTTCTAATGGACACCAGAGACAAGTCTTTAGCATGGACAGATCTTAAGTGAAAAAGTATTTTTAGGAAAGCTTTGCCACTGGGACAGGCAGAGGCCTCTCAAGAAGGCAGATACTGAGGAACACCACCAGCAACAGGAGCTACGGGGTACCCCACAAAGTGTTTGTTTTAAACTCTAAGAAACTGACAACTATTAATTAGTCACCTTTACTGGAGGTAATGCTAGATACTAGCAGATTCATGGTTATTTCTAGTATGTTAGTTATCTATTAGGTGTGTAGCATTAAAAGAGTCAGGAGACTGATTGGTAGGAAAATGACCACTCTGTGTACAGGTAGAAGAAGAAAGCATAATCAGATAAAAAATTAGAATAAATTCAGAGTAAAGAGTTCAGTCCTATTAACTGATCCATTTAATAAAGTTACAAGCCAACCCCCCCATGACTTGTTCATATGTTGCTGATCTTCGCTTTTGCTTGTTCCTTTTCTCATAGTTCTTTTCCCACTAAAAAAAGCACAGTACTTCTTTAAAGTCTCTTGATAAAAAGCTGCACCTGAACACGTTAACATAGGACTATGCCATAAAGAAGCAAAAGCTGTCTCAGAGCACTACACCTGGGTAACCCATTAATCTTCCCAGATTTCTCTAATTTAAGACATTGTACAATGACAGCAGAGAGAACACTTTTTGGAAAATAAAGCTACTCCACTAGCTTCCTCTTTCAGTAATCAACAGTATTTTCTTATGATATCTTCCAGATAAAGATTTTGCTTTCCATTTCCCTTCCACCCTGAGTTTTCCCAGCCCTGTGTTCTGAAGAAGGCAGCCTATTTTTCATCTCAATACCCACAAAAATGTTTCAATGATAACGTTCACCTGCTATTTCAGATTACACCTGGATCAAGAGCTGACAGAGAAGAAGCTTGCTGGGTTGAAGGAAGGAAGTATATTGAAAATAATGACTGTAATTCAGTGGTAATAATGGGTATGACAACAGCAGCTACAATTCCCTGTATGTACTCATACTTCCTAACACATATATTAAAAGCCACTAAAACGCAGTCATATGTAATGACAGGTTGAACCATCTGGTACTGTCAAACATTTCTGATTAAAAAGTTAGTTTTTAACAGCTTTCAGATTTGTGCTAGAAGCCAGTCTTGAGAAGTCACATTACTCAAGTTAAAATGCACAGAGGATCACATTAGCATATTTCTTGTACTTGCATAACACCTTTTTCAAAAGTTATCCATCTCACTAATCACACTAACTTTTATATTTAAAAAGATTAATTTTCTGGATTATCTTAAGAGAACCAAACTTGACATAATGTTCACATAATATATTTCAAAAATATTGTTATTCCTGTATGTCTTCTACAATTGTTTCCAGAGGAGACCCAAATGAATGCTTAAGGCATGACCTCATTCTGTAGTAAATAACTTACACATTTTGATACATGTTAGCCTCTATCTTCAGAAATAACTCCCAAAAAGTTACAAAACTTAATCCCAAAGAAAAATGTGCACTATTTTATGTGGAAATTATTTTGTAATTATATTAAGGTGCAAAGTTACTGAAGAGCTCATTAAAAGATAAACATACCGTGCCTTAAACTGTAATACTGATAACTCGCCACTCTGATCCCTGTGTTTCAAAGGCCAAGTTTTAAAACAGACACCTACAAGGGCTTTGAGCAAGAGGCAACATCAAAATACATTGCTGGTAGCAAATACCCAAGCAATATATAGGCTGAAAATATGAAGATTCAAAAGACATGCAATTATCATACTAATTTTAATGTCTCAAAGTAAAAATGCTCCATGTAAAATCACTGAGCTGCTGAGAGTGTTTTGTAACCACAGCCTCATACTTCAGCTTTGTAAGTGAGAAATCTGTAGTCAGAGTTCTACTGAGATTCCAAGTTTCAGAGCCAAGAAGAAAACTATTACCTGTACCTAGACTACTGCAGTTTTTAAAAATTTCCTTTTACGCTGTATGTAAACCACAAGTATAGACTCCTTAATTTCAACATGCTCAACTGGGGAGGGGAGGATGAAACAGAAAAATCAGTCTTACAGTCGGAGATTGCAATTGCTGTCCTAAGACTCAAGTTAAACAGTGCTGATGGGATACTTTTACAATATATATGACAAGAATCATCAAACTTTTGACTGACACTTGAATGCACAAGACTACAAGTGCTTTAACTGTATGTACACTACAAAACAAAACCATGTAGACATGTAAAGATGTGTCCATAGAAACACAGTGGACACAGATTCACATGGAAGATAAAGAGATAGTTGCAGTTACAGTCTATTACTAAAATCCATGAAACAGCATCTTATTGCATCAAGAAGTTATAACTAAGAAGTTAGCTACTACGTTATTGGAAAAACATGTCATTAATAGATGAACTTCCTTTTTTCTTGTTTCATCTCTGTTTTGAGACTTACCGATAAGTAATCAATATTCTAGATACATGAATAACAAATATCAGAAAACTGCCAATTTACTTGACTGAAAACTAAGTCTGCTACCTCAGAGTTGCAACTTCTTTGTTGTATTTGCTTTCCTTTCAACTCTGAGTTTTGAGTTACAATTTGCTCCATACAAAAATGACTTGTAATTGTGAAATGTTGTCCTGAACTGATGTTAGAGCAAGCATTAGGATGGCATAAATTAAACAGTCATGATCACAGTATGCAGACTAATAAAGCACATTGCTTTGTTTTTCTTATCGGAAAGTATTTAACACTATTTTAATGATATTCCTATGAAAGTATTTAAAAGAAAATAATGTATCTTTGACACTGTTCTTCCTTACCTCCCACTCTTTAGAAGCATCTTCAGTAGTAGATTCTTCACTTGTTTCAGGCTCCTCCTTCTTTTTTACTACTATAAATCCAGGTTCCCGAAGAGATTCCCCAGTATCTTCTGCATATATCTCTGGACTCCACTGGATAAAGAAGACATACAAGTGATCTGTCCTAGAGAAGTCAAGTAATGACACAGAAAAGAAAAATGAGGTAAGTTTGTGATCTTATGGAACATGTCTAATAATTATGAAGTACCTATGGTTAAAATGAAAATACTTACTATTTCATGTTTTACTACACATTAGAGACGCATTTGAAAAAAGCTAGTTAGCTAGTTTTTTTCTTTTTCTTTTTAATTATATGAAGCTGACACAGGAGGAAAAACAGGAAACAAGTTGGCAAGTGACTAGTTGTGTTTTCATATACAAATATGCTCCTCCAACTACTGTCCCATTGGAAACCTCTGTTTACAACTGAAATAACTTCCAAAGTAAAACACTAAGGTTTGGGGTTTTTTAAATTTTATTTAAAGAGTTACATAAAAACAAAAAATCAGATTTTGGAAATGTATGCATGTCTGTTTTCCTCACCCTTGAAGAAGAGCCAAACACTACCAAGACACATAACCAAAATTATACAGAGCATGAGAATTACTACAGATGTGAGGAAATAAGGCTGAAAGTGTGCACGTATTTATATATATCGTTAGATCATAAACTACAAACTGTTCTAACTGCAGAAAGCACTAAGATTCAAAGTTACCTCCTTTCAAGTTACCTGCCACAAATGGCATGGTTCTCCAGTCTGGAAGAAAAAAATACTTAAATTCCCAGGTTGCTATTTACAATCCTGATAGATGCCAGTCTGCGCTGTCTAAGCATTTCCTGTAGGTGCACAGATGGAGCATTTAGAAAAAGAATGTGCAATCAATCCACTACTATCTCTTAATCACAGAAAAGACATCTTCAGAGCCAGATCTTTATGGCTCTGGTCTGAATATTCCTTATTTCTCTCTTCAGAGAGATCTTCTACAGTGAATCTGCACACTGGATTATCATGAAGAATATCTGGACAATATGTGGACTTCCCCCTTCCCCTTCCTTACTAAATCCCTGCAAAACTGAATACTGGAAGAACAGTAAAAGATACAGAGCAGTAAAGTCTCACAAAACTGCAACCATAATTTTCATGTGCCTCAAATGAATCAGCACACAGGTATGTAGTAATAATCTCTGAACAGGGTCAGTAATTCAAAGTCACCCTTGTTAAAATTAAGGTTCTTGTGATAACAAAGACGAAAGGAAAAAAGAAAGAATAATCTTTCTTTCTCGGACAGCAAGAGAGACTAAAACATTTGAGATGCATAAGGCTGGGTAAGTTTTATGACAAAAATCAGAACAAGAAGCTGCAGACTCCTCATGCACCGAACACGTTATCAACTTTTAAAAGTCTTACAAGTAGGAAAATAAATAAAAAATCCCGATTTTGACTTGTTAAGAACTTGAAATTCCGTATAATTCTAGCAGTTAAAAAAAAAAAAAATAAAATCTGATGCTTAAGGAACTCTAAGATAGATACTCCTTCCCATATCGGCTCATTTGAGATTAAGAACACTGAAATAATGCAGGCGTGTCCGGCACCACCTTTTTTTTTTTCTCCTCTTTCTTACCACTAGATGACAGACAACTGGGTTGACATTATTTTGACCAACACAGGGCAGCACTCAGCAACGTCAACTCTGAATTAAGAAAACAAACACCCTACTACCAACATTTTACTTGTGTACAAAAACACAGTGGATATATTAAAGAGCAGATTACTAATTTCCATGCAGTTAGAGAAAAAACCCTTCACAGGTGGAGATCAGATACAGACTGATACATAACCTAAGAAACAGGTGATATATTCTGCTTTCTGCTGAAGATGGGTACTTGCTTTTTACATTAGAAAATGAACCAGAGACAATAATAATTTTAATTTTAATTGGCTGACCTAGACTTCATTGCCATATGTGAAACATTTCTCTCTTTTCAAATTAAATATGAAATGAATAGAACAAGAAAATTTGAGCTGACTGTAACCACAAGAGCTCACCTGGCCCAGGCAGGATCAGCTATACCAGAACCAGTGTGACGGACATTTGTCTCAAGAAACTGAATAATCTCCATCAATTAAGGCAGTGAGGATGATGTTTATGCTAGCACATCAATAACGTGATTTTAGACTCACTTCTGTTGAAAAACTCAAATATTTTGATGTAACTTCAGGATACAAAAAAAAAAAGACTACTAAAAAAGACTACTGCCTTTCTTGTTGCAGCGAACTTTAAGTATGAAATGAATTTATGTTTGTGATCAACCTTTTCTCCTTTAGATTAAAGAACCCCACTTACTTCTAATTTTCTTTAAATGTTACACTTTCTAGGTATTAGTTAGTCTTGCTGCTTTCCTCTGGACTCTCTCCAATTGATCCATATCTGTCCTCAACTGCAGTGCCCCAACTGGACATTCTATGCCATTCAGCTCAAAAGAAAAGATGGAAAAGTGACTTGATCATTGTGTGTAGGTATTTATACAAGAAGATAGCTGATAGTCTTTTGTTGCTGTTTCTTCCCCCCCTCCCCCCCTGCTTCTGGCAAGGATATAATAACCTCCAATATTCCCAAAAATCACATTCAACTTGAAAGTGAGTCAGTTTCCTAGCAGTAAAGATCATTTAAGAATTCCAGACTTTACCAGTGAGTGATCATGGACATCTCATGTCTCTGAATCACTACGACAAATTTAGATGTTTTTCCAATAGATATGTTTAAGTTACTTCCTGGAAGAGTTTTATGTTCCATGTATAAAGATACAACAAAAGAACCCCAGGTAGCTCTTCTGAACTCACAGCTCTAAGTAGAGAATTTTTATCAAGTTTCCAAATAATGGGAAGCACAGATAACGGCAACAAAAACTTTGTTGCAGAACTCACTTCCTTCACCAGAGACTGCTTACTTGAATCTTTCTTTCATTGTTTTCTTGGTACAAACATAAGCCGAAATAAGACCGTTGAAAATTACTGGCTGAATGTACAAGTAACTCAAGTAAATCATTACAACTTCAGTATGGTGATGAGGTATTCCAGCATTAAAAACAAGCCAATCGCCAATATCCGCAGTTGTTGACCCGTTTTGTGTCACTTTATAGATACAGTCACAGAAAAATTTTCAGTGGTGCAGAAAAAAACCCCAAAACTCAAAGACCTACGGGAATGTGTTGATTTTTACAGTCAACCTCCTTCTTACCTTTCCTGTGGAACAGCAAACCAGTACTCGTGTTTTTTATCCCTCTGTGCATACTGTTGCATCGATGCACTTGCTTGCGAAACAAATGTTTTTCTCATGGGTTTTCCAACCCTGAGACGCAGAAACTTGTGAGACCGATGTCGTCTTTTTTCTTTTGTAAGAGAAGAACCTATTAGTAGAGAAAAAACAAGCTATGCACAATGTACAGAAGAGCTTAATAGAATTATTAGCGAATTTTGTATTAGGCAATACAAGTATATAGGACCTACATTAACAAAGTAATAGGAGATGAGGTAACATAGGTAGTAATAATTACCTAACATTGCATCAAAATTGACTTCAAAGTGCAACAAATCTGAATAACTCTAACATCTATTTTTGTGTCCAGTCTCAGATCACATCATGATAGTCTGTCACCCATGCTTCAAAGTATCTCAGGTGGTTTTCTCAAGGCATATTCCTCAACACTGAATCAGAAAATCCTCCCACTGTTAAAAATATACTCCATGCACATGCAAAAGATACAGTGTTAAGTACTCAGGCTTGGTTCACATATGTCAAAGCTGTTCATTAGTCATTTTTAATTTAAAAAAAAGTTCTGGCACTACTAATAGAGGACGGATGTGAGTTTTAATTTGTTATCTATATCAAACACTTCAAAGGTATGAACACTACTTCAGGATGAAGTATACCAGATGCTGCAGTGTGGAAATTTTCCCTCCAGTAGTATATTTCATTGAACTACTAGAATTATATGATTACCCTCAAGGTCTGGATTGTCAAGTCAGCACAATGTAAATGAAGAAGCCTTCTCAAAACTGTTTCTTTGCTAAATTAATTGCCCAAATCCTAGTAAATGAGCTCCAGCCTCAAGAGACATTTTAAAACAAGGAAGGAAAATGTAAATTTAATAGCTCTTATGAACAGCTATGACAACAAAGGATTTATCCTACCTCTGGTGTTACACATACATACAGGTATGTTCCAATTTCACAGGACACTTTTCTTTACAGCTGAAGTTCTCCTCCAGTGTCTGTGTAGACTACAGATACACTGAGCACAGAAAACATCACCTTCTTGATCCATGAATATCCCTATTGAATGTTTTCTGAATCAGATTTTCAACAAGAAGCTTAGAATAGCATTGTTCCTCAAAAGATTTTTTTATTTCAGTAAATATTTAGATGTGTGCCTCCTAATTTTCAGTTACAGCATTTTAGAACTATACCTGCAGTATACAGGTCCTCTCAAATGCTGACAGTAGAATAGTCATAACACGCATGATTTGGAAGTGTAAGTCTGCGAGATTAAAAAATCTAAACCCAAGAAGTATCCATAATAAACAAAAAACCTGTTTCACAGGACTGGCACAAGAACTTTGTGGCACTGAAATACTCTTAAAATGATCTGATAATCGGGATTTTGGTCCTTCAGATGCAGCAGTTTAGAACTCCTAACCTTCTGACCTACAGCTCAGAGAAATGGGATTTCTACCATGTCTTAAAAAACAAGTGAGACTACAGTTCCAGCTAGCAGAGGGAATGAAAACAAGTAATTTAGTCCTGCCCTCAAATCTCAAAAGGACCATTTAAGATGCCTTTTTTGGTGTGTTCTCCAGTATATTTTTGTACATTTGACACAGAATTAATCAGAAAAAAAAATTTAGTAATGGCTATTGTGTCTCATGCTTCCCCCCCACCCCTTTCAATCTCTGCCAATATTCAGCTAACTAAGCAGCAGACATGTTATCTTTAATGATATTTCACCTTGTTTATACACACAAAACTATAAACCGTTACAATTTCTCCGAAGTATCAACTATGTCTAGTTTTCATTTCAGTCCAGTGGTTAACATAACTGTCTGTAAAAACAGAACAAAATATAAGAGACTTCTGGGAAATTAAAAAGAAAAAAAATCCAAGTGAGAGTTTTTAGCTATTCTAGACCACTCACAGTTATCAACTTATACTGCATCACCTGTTCAACATTCAGAACAAACAGATCATTAATTCCAAATTCAAACATTTGACCCCTGTGAAGATCAACAAATGGTAGTTCCCATAAACCTAGGAGCTCAAAACTTCCACAAAGAGAAGCAATTTAGCTAAGTCCTTGCTATATGCAGAAGAAAAGGAGACCAGGTAACTTCATCACATAGAACTCCTGGTATGAGTACCTCAAAGTTTTAGTCCAATAGACAGGATATGAGAAAGTGTTTAAAGAGTTTCCATTTTTTAATGACCTAGCGTTTTTTTAGTGACCTACTCTTGATGGACTTATCATAGTTTTCAGTGACCTTTAAGAGTTAAGCAATAGATCTATGCTTTTACCTTGGCTCTATTTAAACTGTAGACAAAACCAGTAAAAGCTTCACCAAATCTGTCTAGACTGAGAAATACTAATTCTTATTTTACTTTATTTGCATCCTGCTAATACAACATGCAAGAATTAACAACAATAATTCCAACTAAAGTTAGACTGAAGTCATGGACACAAATCTCCAAAAAGTAACCTATGCTTTTATATTTGTTTTTTCGTTCTATTTCAGCCCCACAACCTTCAGTGAGGCTGTACCTCCATGTGCAGAAAGTTTCTAGCCAGCACTCCTCTGTCTGACTGCATGCAGACATTTTTTGGATTATATATGTATATACTCTGTGGCTGTAGAGATCATCATGCTTGAAAAACCTGTAAAGTCACTCAATGATACAATCTTTAAGAAAACTGACAAAATGAAAACATCTAATACAACTGAATCGCAAATAATATTCAGTTGTAAGAAAAACAGCAACTGTGGCAAAGAACAACTGGTGCTTGCACTTTTCAGAAGTCAGAACCAGCAACTACTACCAGCTGATATTTTTGTAGAGGACTTCCTCTAATATTTAAGGTATAAAAGCCAAACTTATCACAGAATGATGCAACTATTGATCTGCTTCAAATTTCAAAATTCAGTTACTTCCTTAACAGAAGGAGAAAAAAATCCAAAACCTATCATATCAAATTCTGAAGCGAAAGATGAATTTCTGTCAAAGAATATACCTCTCTGTTCAATACAATCTCAAATTTAATAATCAACATAAACAATTTGACCTTCAAATGCACTTCAGATATAACCTATTAGCTTGCTGCAGTCATTATAGGTATGTTTTCTTTTTAGCCCTCAAAATATTGGACAATTAAAACAACTAGTTTATCTACACTTGTAAAATAAGGCATCATAAAGTGACCTACGATATTTTTGAAAGTAAAATCAAATACATAAAGAAGCATTTTTAAGTTACTTAAAAAAGACATAGCATTTTTTAATATGAATTGAGTAACTTCAGACTTTCAAAGATAACTTCCAAGTAATAGTCCTAGGGCCTGATCTTTACAGAAGAGTAAAGGTACTCAAGAAATAAACCTAGTTGTTCCCCATATTTCTATCATCAGCTTCTTACCATCTAGCTCTTATTTATCTCGAGAAATGGTTTTTGTATGCTTAACCTTGTTTTAGTCAACATGAAAGTATGACAAGATGCAAGTGAAACCAAGTTCTGAAAGTATCAACGTTAATCCTCCAGAGTTTGTTGCTCACATCATGAACCTTAACCACAAGGTAGATGTGCTATAGAGATGATTCATTCCCTGAAATTCATTCACACACATGCACACTGGGATCAAAATTAAAGTGACAGGTAGCTAACTGCTAAAGAACATTTTTAATTTTGAGCTCTACAGTGACCAAAGTGTCATAGATCTAATTTTACAGATTCATGCTCTCTTACGAAGACATTGTGGTTTAATATGATCGTACATATAATTTCAATGAGGAAAAGTGACAGTAGCAAAGGTATCCATGTTTTAGGTTCCCCAAGTAACATTTTCCACACTAGTTTATATAAGGTATAGCTTAGATATATCTTCAAGTCAATGAGAAATATAAACAAAATATTGGGAGATGTATTCTACGGAATTAAGAACAACCAAAATTCTGATGAGCTGTAGGGAGATACATTGTAAACCTGGAGGCCAGCACTCTATCCATAAAAACTGATTCACTCACCTTCTGATTGCCCATCTCCTCCAGCCGCAGTTTTCTGACCAATTCCTTTTTGTGAATCCTGCTGCATGTTTTCTCTTTGTTGCTTGGTTCGTTGCATAGTGTGGGTCTTCCAGAGTTTGCGCAATTCCTCAACCTCTGTCTCCGAGTCTTGAGTTCGTTCTTGCACTACTTTTCCTTTGCCAGCTGTTTCTTTCTTTTGAGAGTCTGTGGTATCTTCACAGCGTGGACATTCCTCGCCTGTCTTACTTTCCCCTTCTGGTTCTTTTCCTAGGGAGGGATCTTGATTCTTGCCCACTTCTACCTCTTTGTTGTGCTCTTTGCTACCATGCTGGAGAACATCTGCAACATTCTCACTAGGTTCTTGTCTGCACTTTATAGACATCTGAGCACTTTCTGAACCTAAGCTGTGGGTACCAAATGGTATAACCATTTCAGCACTGGGTTTTAAGTCACTGGCAGCTTCATTTGAGTCTGAAATGGTTGTTAAACATTCAGCACTAGTCTGGTTTATCGTTTGGACAGATTCTGATGATGCTCCAGAAGACTTGTCTTGTCGAAGCTCATCTGAGGAAATGAGTTCCTCACGTATTGGAGACAGTTCTGATTCTGTGAAGACATCTTCTGAAAGAGACTCCTCCGTGCTCCTTGGGGCAGTACTAGCACTGTCATTGCCTGTATCCTGAATCCTGGCATCCATTTCATCTGTATTGCTCTTCGTAGCTTTCTTGGAATGGCAAAGTTCCCTTACAGACAGCTGTTCTATGTCTCTGTTGAGCAAACAAGAATGTGGTTACAGCAGGTGCCTTTTACATCAAGCTCTTTTCTTTCCTAAGTTTTGTTCAATACTGAAAAATTTTAAAAAAAACCAAAACCAAACAAAAACCAAAACAAAGAATAAATTAATCCAGAGCATCAGTAATAAGAAACAAGCACAAAATATGCTCCTGTAATAGTAAGATTACAGCAGACCTTTAGCCAGCATGACACAGATAGGACTTTCCAATTTCATTACATTACTTTTGCAAGGTAAAGCTCTCCTATGAAGGCAACAAGACTGTTTGAGATGCTTAAAGTGTAAAACTAAAATAAAAAACAGTGGAAAACCAACAAGAAGCTACATGCAACCATAATCTCTAAAGGTAAATATCCTTCAGTCTTTCAAGCTTTATCAACCAAAGAGGTCAGTACAAGAGCACAGATCTGTCCCACTTTATTATGGGTTGACACCTGGCTCACTGGCAAAAAAAGTGAATGGCAGAAATTATCTGGCCTAACCTTAACTATCTAAGTCAGCCACTGCAGGACAACAGCAACTCTCAAGACAGACCTTGTCAAGGCAGATCCTACCATTCTGTCAATGGGAAACACCTAAGAGTGATCAGAGTCTTCACCACTCACGTACGTAACTTTGAGGATACCACTGTTAGGCAAAATAAATCCCAAACTACTTGGTACAACTGAACAATATAAAGACCAGACATCAAATGCTGACAAATAGTGCAAGAAAAAAAACTTTTTATGCTTGCTTATTTTCCCCAAAGGAAATTATCTTATTCAAACCTGCCTTTCAAACTAAGCTAACCAGAAATTCTACAAGTTTTAGAAGGACTACAACAGGACTGTGAACGCGATCAGCTGCACCTCCGTGACTCAAGCTTTTCCAGTGTTGTCAAAAAAGCTGAGGAGTACACAACCTTCACAAAAAATTTCTCATGTTTAAACACTTTTGAGAGTTCTTGATGCCAACTCCCTTGCTATCACAAGCACATTACATCTTCCATTACCTACCATCAAATGCTTTTAAGAAGCTCGCACCTTAAACTCCCATCTTGAAAAAGGATAAATCCACTCCACGATTCTACAAAACTTCTTGTTCAGCTAGGTCATACCACAGACATTACTGAGACACAGCTAAAGTTCAGGATGTTTGCAAAGCTTATGCACCCTCTTACCCAAGTAAAACTGATATTAGGCTTGTGCTCGTGCAGTAATTTTGCTTACAAAACATGCAGATTAGACATTAGGATTTATCATTATTAGACTGGGCTGTTTCTTTAATTTTTCTGGATAATGCTGCTAATAGGTGCTCTTGGACAAACACAACCTAAGGGTCATAAAATCTGTAAAACATGTGCACTTTTTCCCTTTTTTTTTTATTTTCAGAATAGTCTGTGGCTTATACATAGAAACCAGACAAGATGAAATTGCAGTTTTAAGAACCAAAGAATCCATTCAGGTTTATGATCAGTTTCCATTATATCAGTAATCTTATTTTCAGTATCCAGATTGCTTTTTCCAAGTTTAAACACGTTTGACAGTTGGCAAAATTGGGAGAGGAAGAGGGTTAATTATAATCGGGCAGTATTTAGAAAAAACTCCACACAAATAGTGGGAAAAACGTGAAGTAAGTCTCAAACACCTCCAGACACTCAGATCTCATCAGATCTAGCTGTAGCTGTTGGGAGGTCTGGTTACAGAATTTAGAAATTTGAATTTTATTTTCCCCCAATTTACAAACATGCCTCAAATTTTGCTGAGGTTAAGGCATAGAAGTGCTGGAACAGAAGAAAGTGCTACAGGTTAACGTCCCATTTAATAGCTGATAAAGTTGACAAGAAAGATCAATCAAATTGGATCTACAGGGCTCTGAAGACACAGTGTGACCTTTCATTATTAGGCACATGTTCATTCCATACGCAATTATACTATAAACAAAACAGAAAACACATGTGCTCCAAGACCACAGAAATCAACAGGGCAAGGAAGGTAAATTTGTAAGTTAATATTGAGTCATTAAGAAACTAAACATGCTAGGAAAAAGACTTGTTTTGCAACTGCAGTATTACCATTCAAACAGATTAGAAAAAGAGCAATCTCATTTTCATAATCTCATTACTTGCACTATACATCAATTGAAGTAGAAACTATGAACAACTTTTTAAAACTCAATCTGGAGAATAAACTTCCAGAAAGCAATCATGCTGAAGGCATCACCAAACCCCCAAAAGTACTAATGTAATAATATGTACCTTAGTTGCTCTTTCAAGAAATGCATGACTTCAGGTTTTAAATGCCTATCACGCTAAACACCGGTGATTACAGCTCAATCTAAATTTGCTCTGTTCACCCCAAACAAGGCTACACCCAAAGGTGAACATGCAGTTCTTCCCCTAGCCAAAACGCAAAAAGAATATACTTCTAGTACCATAAACACAAACTTCAGAAGAATCAGTCTTACAACCATGTATCATAACAACAAGAGTTTGATAATCAAGTGGAAAACAGTAAACAGTAGAGATTTGCACCTAAAGCTGTTTAAGTTGGACTTTTCTATTCTGTACATCAGTTTTTAAATTACCAAAGAATCAAACACATCTGGTACTGTGGGGGAGGGGAAGCGGGGAAGGGACCGAGGAAGCAGTGCGGTACCTCTGCTATACAGTGATTTTTAAGAGGAGGAAATTTTTATTGGAGGAAAATAGAATGCATGTATATAGAAAAGGATTTATTCTATATATTACATAGAGTGTGAGAACTTAAGGTAAAGCAAGCTTTCTCAGGGGTCTTTCCAAGCCAAACTTTGATGTTGTTCTTAAAAAGGAAAAGAGCAGAAAATGTGGTTGTGCTAGTTTTCTACGGTCAGCAGCACAGCTACAGTTCACATTTACCCAAAGCTTTAAAAATGCTATTCTATCTTACATGGTTAATGAATCCTTAATTTTGCTGTCCACAATTTCTTTATACAGAGCAGCTGACATCACTTCTTCCATTGGACACATGATGCCATACTCTTCACAGCCGTTCTCTTGGACCAGAGGATCCATTTTATGAGGATCAAACATTATATTATTTGGCGTCACTAGCAGCACACCATTGACTGTACCCTAAAATGAGAGGGAAAAGAAGTAGTAAATTTTCTCCTTCATATTTCAGCTTATTCTCCATTTTTTGTAGGAAAAGAATGTTTTAAAATTTGTTTTTAAAGCATCTTTAAATTTATCTTTATTTAAGCAGCTGTATACAGTTCCTTGTGTTCTGCAGTCATCTAGAAACATAACCGTTTTTCTGAGGAAGGAAATTAATGCCCTCTACTTTCCCCAAAAGAAAACAGTTTTGTTCCTCAACTGCTTAATATCTGGGCTGATTCAAAAAAAGTAAAATGCTTGCATCCTAAAGGATACACTAGGAAGCACTTCTGAGGAATATCCTTCCCAGATAACCACAGGGCTTATTGCTAGTATTGCTAATGTATTGCTAGCTTCAAGCATTGTCTAGAAAAACTGATTCTTAACTGTTCTCACTTTCTACCATTTTATTAACTATTTTATAACTGTAATTTATCTTAATTTTCTTTACACAAAAGCTATGGCAGTATCCAATACAAGCCATTCTAACTTAATGGACTTGTTGACTTACTGGACAAACACATTTCTAAAATGAAACTAGATTAAAAATACTAAAGATTTTTGAAGATGCGGCTTTGGATGGAATTAATCCGAGTCATACTGCTGCAGTACATGAATACAAGTAGATTTTAAACTTATAGGATGAAAAACATTAAAGAAAGTTGCTACTCATACTATGAGCTGTTGGGTCCTTACACAATTCAGTCATCAAGTTAATTTACAATACATTGAGCTTTTTTTTATTCTTATTTTTTTTTATTCAAAGTGTTAGAGATACATGCAAACACCAACACCAGTTGCCTCCTAAGGAAATTCACTGAACTCTTAGAACAGTACTGTTCAAGTTAAAATTATGAACTGGAGGAGATGTAGCATTAAGGACTTCATAAATTTAGAAAGACACTCAAAACCTCTGTGCAAGAATCACAAAAAAGAGTTGTTTCATGTGCTGCTGAAGATGATCAGGAACTGGATAAATATCCAGCTCAGTGATAATACTGTTTAGAGTGACTACAAACACTGTGTATTGGAGGGACTGATTGTTTTCACTTTTGTTTTAAAAAGAGATACCAGCACAGCATGAAATACAACTATGTTCCTTCCTATTTCCAGACATTTGTTCCCAGCACTGTGTTGGCTGATGACCTTCACAGCAGAAAAACAAAGATGCCATACAGTGAGTAGAAAATTACAAGTTATAAAAAACAAACTAAAAATAGTGTTAAAGCCTACAGCAATGACCAATGGTATCACTATTGTGGAAAAATGAAAACAGCCTCATCGGCAGCTCAAGCACCTGTACTGAAGTACTCTCAGTTTTTCAGTGCCCACTCAGGTTTTATCTGTGCCTTTCAGAGTCCAAAGCACATGCTAGACTTTGAAGTCAACAAAACATATTTACATAAACACTGAAACAAAGCTGTCACTGGTATTTATTTCCCAGGACTGTACTGTGGAAACACTTTCCAGGTGCAAAACTGAACTTCGAGAATGACCATCAATGGAAGTCTACATTTGGTTATGTCCACTGTAGTCTATAACAAATAACTTTACCATGACTGCAAAAAGTCCGAGTCTACTCAGAAGAACAAACGCTTTTCTTCAAACAAATGCTACTTCTGTAAATTAAGTATAAAATGTAAAAAGCAGCATCATTTCTAAATTTGAGCTCTTTCATTAAAGAACACACACGAAAGTGGAATTTTATTAATATTCTCCAGATCCCATTCACAACAGTCAAGCCTTGGCAGTTGGCCTAGGTGATCATTGTGGGTCCTGTTCAACTGAAATATTCTGTTGTACTCTTTCACTGCCCACAAGTCACAAGTACGTGACTCTTCAGATCAGTCAGGCTGGAGAGAAAAAAAAAAAAACCACGACAAAAAAAACCCCAAAAAACCCAAACAAAAAAAGCCCTCACAAACCCAAAAAAGCTAAGGTTGTATGACTGTCCCAGCTGAAGGATTCAAATGTTTAACACCAACCTCTAAAATGATATATTACTCAGTAGAGGCAATCAGCAATCAAGTTCACTGGAGCACCCTTCGTTTCAGACTAAGATTTTGACTTCACTTGTTCACTATTTAATGAACAAATTATCCTGCCTTGATAATTAATTAAGTACACAGGAATTGCTAAAGCTTTTGAAGCTGCAGAGGATCTTAGGCAATTAAAAGGAGATGATATTTTTCTCTCAAGGGGTGATCTGACATGTCACCCATGTCAACAAGGTCCCTGGTTTTATTAAACAAACAAAATCTAATGCTTTATCTGTGCTCTCGAAAGCAAGTTAAAAAAGAGTGCTTCACCTGGCAGTCCAGGTTAAAATAAATCTATTAAAGAATATTTTATTGCAAAGTATGGTAAAGAAGTTTCACAAGTCAATTTTACATTGCTTATCTAAACACTAGAGTCACAACATGGGAATAAGTTGTATGAAGAACCAGCTTCACATCTCCTCATGGCAGTTATCTTGCTTCAGCCTCAGTTTCAGTAGTTCAGAAAATATCCCCTTACCTCTCTCAAAGCCTACAGGCCAGGCTTGTCAATACCTTAAAGAAATGTCATCACACCTAGGGCAAAAGCATTTCCAGGGCAAATCTGAATGGGTTTAAAGAAATGATATAGTACCTTGTGATGTTTAGACTCAAACTGACTGCAGAAAGATCATACCTACTGTTTCTCAATTGTTCAGCCAAAGAAGTGTGCAAGATTACTGCAAGATTAATTATTACAATGAAAGACTGCATTTGGAATATTGTGTTCAATTCTGGGCCCCTCAGTTCAAGAAGGACAGGGAGTTGCTTGAAAGAGTCCAGAGCAGGGCCACAAGGATGATGGAGGGAGTGGAGCATCTCCCGTATGAGGAGCGGCTGAGGGAGCTGGGTCTCTTTAGCTTGGAGAAGAGGAGACTGAGGGGTGACCTCAGTCATGTTTATAAATTTGTAAAGGGCGAGTGCCAGTAGGAAGGAGCCAGGCTCTTCTCTCTGATGTCTAATGACAGGACAAGGGACAATGGGAGCAAGTTGGAGCATAGGAGGTTCCATGTGAACATGAGGAAAAACTTTTTTGCTGTAAGGGTAACAGAGCACTGGCACAGGCTGCCCAGAGAGCTTGTGGAGTCTACTTCTCTGGAGACATTCAAAAATCAACCTGGACTCATTCCTGTGTGACCTAGTCTTGGTGATCCTGCTCCGGCAGGGGGGTTGGACTGGATGATCTTTCAAGGTCCCTTCCAACTCCTGAGATTCTGTGATTACTGACTACATAAGGACAAGTTTCAGAGACCTTCGGTTTTAAATGGAAGTTTCCTTGAACAGTCTGACAATGACCTGTCTCATGGCAAAAAAGCCCCAAACCTGTACACCAGGTAGCTGTCCTTGACACATACAGAAGATTCTGAAGCCTACATCTGCATCCTCAACTAGAGACACAGCTAGAAACCTAAAAGTTTGCTTATCTTGGTCTATTTATGCTCTCATCTACTCACATCAACACAAGGAAATGAGCCCAGCTTCTCCTTTGTGGTCAGGCTCTGACATGCTGTGTCTTCAGCACGGACCCCTTTGGTGGTAATCAAATATTTGTTGAACATTTTTGAAAACGCTCTTTGACTTCTTTAAAATTTTTTTTTTGGAAAATTGAATTTGTAGAAAATAAATATTTGCACCAAGAATGTAGCTAGAAAGACAGATCAGCAAATCCAAGCATAAGCAAAAAGATTGGGCAATGGGATGCACACTACAAATTCCTACATGACTCCAATATACTGCCAGCATTTGCTCTAATCTCCTAATTTTCTAGTCCTAGGGGAAAAAAAAAAAAAAAAAAGAAAAAAAAGAAAAAAGTCTATAAGCAGCTCAACTGTTGATAGAGGACTGTGGGAAAGGGTTGTTTGGTTATTTTTTTAAGACACCCTTCACTAAATAACCAGTGATTTGTTTCTCTGGGACCATACTTCTAACTAGATATTGAGGAAAAAGTATCAAAAACATTGTCAAAGAAAGGGAAGTAAAAGTTAAGACTCTGCAGATAGCTACTAGAGTAGCTCAACTAGGTATGGTTACAGAAGTTCTGGTTATTTAACTAAAACTCCTCAAAATACCACTTGCAGAAGTTTCCTGTATATGACAGATTCTAAAGACATGAAGTGAATGTCTATTCAGGTGAAGTTCAGATTTAACAGCCTCAAGGAGACATTCTGAGCTGCTTTATTACTGAAAACCATGCAGACCAGGTTATTAAAATAGATCCCTTCAGTCTTAAAGCTGGTCCAGAAAATATTAATCCAGATAAGCAAAAATATGTATGAGAGTAGACCAAACTGCATCTGCATGCAGATATTAAATTCGGAATCACTTTTAACTTCTTTCCATTAAAGTTTCTTAAACCTCAGAAAGTGGGAGCTCTAAATCCTTTACAATATCTAAGACAGAAGTTCAAGTAAACATGATAAAGGAAATATCAGAGCCAAGCTTTGATATTGGTGAACTCAAATATTAAGATTAGGCAGTCCAGTAAAACACATTTTTAAGAAGGTTTGAGAGGACAAGCAGTTTTCAAACAGAAGTTACCTCTAAATAATTCCATTATTTTCTAGAACGCTCAAAGTAGAATAAAAACTGCAATTCACAATTTATAAACTTTTTATGATAAATGCAACAATTTAGTTTTGTTCTTTGTTTCTTGTAGAAGTTTTGAATATCATCAGTGTCCTCCTTTTCAATTCACTAGCAATGTGTTTATGCTTTTTGTTCCTGTACTTACAGGTTGGTGCGGGTTTTTTTTTGTTTTGCCTTTTTTTTTTAAAGCATTAGTATTAGTAATTTTCCTTTACCTACTACTTTCAAAACAAGGCAAATAAACTATTAAGCATAAGAAAGAACAAAGACTTTCAAAGCTCCTCTATTAGTTTCAATCAAGCAGACTGTTTAAGATACCTTTTACTGTCACCAATGAACAGTGCAAGGAATGGAAAAGCTGAACAGCATCCTTCTCTACAAAAGAGGCACACTGTGGCTACAAGAAAGGGAGTATCTACAGACGCAGTAAATGGTGAGTTAACATATGGCTCTGCACCACAATGGTCACTCTGCACTGATTTACTGTCTGACAAGGATGTGGTACATTCACACCGCCCTGCCTCTAACAACAGCCATAACTGGGAAACAGAGAACAAATACTGTAACAGAGAAAATGTTTCCAGGTTTCCATCGCTGCATGACAGAGAATTCCTGAGTGCTTGTCTAGGAAGTCACAGGTGTGACCACAACCAACTTCAAACACATATGGAATTAGTAGTCTTGAGAAGTGAGAAATGAGACAGTCTTATCGTAATGCAAGCCCTTTCACATATGTGAAACTAAAAAGAAGCTTTCACTATATTTTAGTTTAGGAGTTCCAGTGACAACAGACTTCACATCTGAAGCCCCATAAAACAGTTAACAATGAGCTTAAAAATCACTTCCAGAGTGGGAAGCAGAGGATAAATCTTTTAAGATCCCTCCAGAAAACCTCTGAAGATCTATCATCCTGCATCATCAGGAAACGTACCAAGGGGAGGATAAAACAACATGCCAGAGGACATTCCTATCATATGTGACACAAAGGCTAAATTGCGTGCTAAACTTAGGAAATCTGTCACTCAAACCTGAGCAAGTTAGCATTCATTTCTCTCCCCACCCACCTCCCCATGTATGCACTGATACTGCAGTGGATTACACAACTCCTTAGAAACAGAACTCTCCATGAAGTTGTTAAAAAACAGGCTGTAAAGATGCAAGTCAAAGACAGGTTCTGTGAACACTCCCTGTAATATTCTGATGAGGAATTACAGCACATAAGTAAGATGCTGTAAATTTTAACCCTAGATTTGTATGAGGTTCAACAAGGCCAAGCGCCAGGTCCTGCACTTGGGTCACAACAACTCCATGCAGTAGTACAGGTCTGGGGATAGGTAGCTGGAAAGCTGCTTGGCAGAGAGGGACGTGGGGATAATGGTCAACAGCTGGCTGAACATGAGCCAGCAATGTGCCCCAGTGGCCAAAAGAGCAAACAGCATCCTGGTTTATATCAGAAACAGTGTGGCCTGTAGGAGTAAGGAAGTGATCCTTCCCCTGTACTCAGCATTGCTGAGGCTGCACCTCCAATACTGTGTTCATTTTTGGGCCCGTCACTACAGGAAGGATATTGAGGCACTGGAGCATGTCCAGAGAAGAGCAACAAAGCTGGTGAAGGGTCTGGAGCACAAGTCTTATGAGAAGCAGCTGAGGGAACTGGGAGTGTTTAGTCTGGAGAAAAGCAATCTGAGGGAAGACCTTATCACCCTCTACAACTACCTGAAAGGAGGCTGTAGCAAGGTGAGTGTTGGTCTCTTTTCCCAAGTAACAAATGACAGGACAAGAGAAAATGGCCTTAAGTTGTGCCAAGGGAGGTTTAGATTGGATATTAGGAAAAATTTATTCACTGGAAGGGTTATCAGGCATTGGAACAGGCTGCCCAGGGGAGTGGTAGAGGCACCATCCCTGGAGATATTTAAAAGATGGGTAGATAAGGTGCTTAGGGACATGGTTTAGTAGCAGACAGGTTATGATTGGACTTGATTTTAAAGGTCTTTTAAAACCAAACAATTATATGATTCTATTATATTCTTCCAGTACAGCCAACTTCTAACAGAGATTCAAAGTTTTCATTTCCTCCACATCAGCAAACTTAAAACTAAGTAGTAATGACTTAGGACCAACCTAAGAAGTCACCTAGGGAGGAATGCAGGGAGTGAAACAAATTAACTACAAAGTAGAACAAAGTAACAAACAAAGCTTTTCCAGTACTTGTCTCCAACTCCTAACACACAGCTTTTGCCAAGATACATGTACTGTGAAAAGGCTTCCAAGTCTGGACATACATAGGTCTGCAATCCTTCCCTCCAGCAAAAAAACAAAACAAAATATGCAGTTTTAGGAGATTCTTCTTAATCTGTTTATCATTAGTGTAACTTCACATCTATTGCTGAGCAACATGGAATCAGCAGGATTTGTATATATGTACCCATATTTCTGGTGAAGGAAGAAGTACTAGAAGTACTTTGAGTTTCATTGCATTCATTCAGCTTGAGTGAAGGCATGATTTTTCATGATTAAAAGTATCTAATAGTTATTTTTCAGTGGAGTGGGAGAGCAATACATTTCGTTTTTTTTCCTAAAGTGGACTGAGGTAAAGCCTTTGACAGGATCTCAGTCTCTAAAAATTGGTGCAAAACTTCTGCACCTACGAACTGAGTAGAAGTTAATTAAGTGCTGCTAACTTGGAGGCATTTGTGTAATGATACTGCCAAGAGAACTGTAACTACAGCTTCAAAGAAAAATCAAGATTTCTACCATTGTACACCCAATACAGAAGTGTTTGTTTACAGAATAAGAGGTTAATTCTGTTCACACTGTTCTGCTTTAGGAAAGTGGAAGTGAAGCTACCTAACTACTTAATTTCCCTATAGTTTAAGGCATATTCCTTTCCACTGTTAAGAGAATTACTTATGAGATACTAAAATAAGGAACAAACAGACCTCATGCCCTCAGCACAAGAGAATCCTTTAACGGTATGGCTACAGGGAAGTTTATCATCAGTTAACTGCATACTAACTGCTTGCATCCTGTCCAATAAACAAGTTGTCTGGAAATCCAAACCAAACTGTGAATAAATAAATTAATATATTTGTATAGAAATATATATGCACATAAGCTGATCCATTTACCTACCAGTAACTAAGTTTTACAGTATGTTTATGGTTTAAATGTACTTTATTTTTACATCCCAAACAGTAATAGCAAAATCTGAATGCTTAAGTACCTTGCCATTAGTGATGTACTTGCAATTAATTTTTAGAAATTTCTCTGTAAATGCTTCCTCCTCCTCAGAGGTTGATGATACCACTCTTGCAGGACGAACACATGCATGTGCTGGTGAAGCAGTTGACTCTTTCTGTTGGACTCCATCTGGATCCTAAAAAGGAATATGTAAAAGAGAAAGAACTTACCAATGTGCCTTTTCCAATATGAACTTTAAGAGATTTTCTGTTGTGTAATTTTTGTTCTCTTTCTTCAGCATAAAAGCAATTGTAAAACTATGGGACCAAATCCACTGCAGTTTAGAGAACTGCTTTGATCTAAGTCTATGTAACTAATGAAGCACAGCGTAACCAGCCCATGGTATGACGTACAAGTGGGCAAATATATTCAGAATCAACCTGGGAATAAACAACAAAATAATTATCAGAAATCACATAAGGAAGCCATCTGATGCAGTGTCACATGCAAGATTTGAGCAGAAGTTGCCAAAAAGGATTATTTTCCAACTTCAGCAGAAATCCTATTAAATGTCCTCTGTTATCCTTCCATAATATGATGCACTGCTTTATGTTGGAAGGTCAGTTGGTCCAACCCTGTGTTCAGAGTAGGCCTAAGCCTATACTACATCACGTTGCTCGTGGCCTTTCCAGATGAGTTTAAGTCTTCCAGGTTGGAAAACCCAGTGTTTAACCACCCTCATCTCAAAAAATATTTTCCTGTTATTTAACCAGGACCTCTTGTGCAGCAACTTGCAGCTGTTGCTGTTCATCATTTTACTACAAGTCTCTGAAGAACCTGACTCTTCTCCTTCCTCTAACCTGTCTAAAAAGGCAGTAGAACACAGAAATCAGGTTGCCCATTAGTATTTCCTTCTCCAGACTAAAAATGCCCAGCTGTCTCAGACAATCCTTGTGGCTCATATTTCCATTCCCTGATCATCATGCTCTCCAGTGGACTCTCTCCAGCACGTCAATCTTTGTCTTGCACGGAAGGTGTCAGAAGCAGACACCACCACTGCAAATGCAGCTTCACAAGCACCCTAGACAAGGGAATAATCATTTTCCTTAACCTGTTGCTATTCCTTGTATTTAGCCACATGTTTGTATTAAGCAACTTCAATGTTTGATTGTTATCTTCAGAGTCAAAAGAACAGAGCACATCATAGTTTATATTTTGGCTCAAGAGAGGTTCAGATGATGGTTAGTCATCTTACTCCATTTTCAGCAAAAACTCATCGATTTCAGTGACCATAGCACAGAGATAAGATGCCTTTACATTATACAGGCAGAGCAACAGATCTTTACTTTGAGATGTGCCTAAATTTAAACTGCAAACCTGGAGTCAAAATGAGAGGAGAGTCAAAGAAGAGAGACATCAATACAGAGCATTAGAGAACGTATGCTACTATTTCTCTCATTCACATAGACAGCAATCAGCAAAGAGAAAAGAGAAACAAGGGAACATGTGCTATGATGAACAAAATCCTCCAGCCTTAACTGCTCAAATAGAAGTCAAGTGCTTTCTGTGTTGCTGGAGAGACTGAGAAACAAAACCAAAACACACAGTCCACGCTGACAAGTACAAGTGATTTCCGTTCTTTGCTTTCTTCTGACCAACTGTATCTAGGTACACCCCTTCCCTCCTTACATGGTCTTTAAAAGACCTCAGAAACAGAAACTTTCACAATCACTTTATCATACATTGTCACATCACTCATTTTTTTGACTCCCCCTGAAGTATTTAAGAACCACTTGTAGTCATCCATGACATGGAATAAGATGAACAAAAATAGTTCTGCAACAATAGTGTCAGTTAAATGAAATTTAACACTCAAATTGTTGCTAGCACTGAACTGTCTACACTAAACAAAACTACCTTTTGCATAAGAGGATTCTAAGTTTTAAAGTATTTTAATCTACTTTGTTTCTTTTACCCTTTCAAGCTTTTATCTCTGCCACATGCATAAAATAAAAAAGTTTCAAATAAATTACAAGTATGGTTACACTTCTAAGTCTCATCTACTACACGAAACAAGCACATACAAAATAATGCATGAAAGTGAGAATAAGATATTTTTCTTACATGGGATCTAGTGCATTGTAGGAAGAGCTCTGATTTCTAGTAGTAAAACTAACATTTTTCTCTTAAGCAACATCTCACAGCATATGCTGTATGGGTAGGCCTATCCTAGCATTTACAGGCATTCTGAGACTGACATCGAAGAATGTCTCCTTGCAGACCTGTCTGTTTACTGTGCTACAATACCTTCAGCTTGCCATAATACATAGAAGCAATTATTCAGTACAAATGACAGCAGACACCTCATGAGAGCAGGCATACTAGGTCAGAGTGAAGGTGTAACTGCATAACCAAATAGTAATTTTCAGCAGAAGGGTCATCACTGCCTTTGTAATGCAGTTTGGGAACCTATTCAGCAACAAAGGAATACCTTTATGTTTAAACTTCTCTAGACCAAGTCAAGCAATCAAATAAACGAATAAATGTTTAAAGTCTCAAACCTCCCTAAACTTTGAGTACACAGAATCCTGGAGTAGACATCTGACAGCCAAAAAGTGCTATCAAGAGAACTTGTTATTTGAGAGAAAAGATAATAACTAGAAAAAAACAATAGTGACATATTAAGAAACGTCTGAATAAAGTCATAATTGTATAATTGCAGAGAAGCCCAGGCTTTGATGCTGTATCTTCCTGGTTAGGTTTCTCCCCATGGAATTCTGCTGACAGCAAACTAGTGTTCCTGGAAAAACATGCTTTTACAAAGCCAGCTCCTAGCCAAAAATCTACATTTGAGCTGAATTACAGAGCAGCTTTGACAGCTAAACAATTTTAGTATTTGAAAAATCTACCAAGGCAGAACTACTGAGCAGAAGTCAGCTATAATCAGCTCTGTATTAGCCCTTCATTGAAACAGACCTTTTCTTTACTTTGTTTTGGTAAATGAAACTAGAGAACCCCCTCCCTTGCCTCTACAGGGAGGCAAGGGGAGCCCTTACCTTTTAGCTATTTGAGTATTCTTGCCAGTATATCACTGCTACAAAAGCTATCAGTAAGATTAGAGACAGATGTTTAACTAGTTCTGGAAGGCAATAAATAAAGAAATGCAACAGGAAATAGTATTTAAGATTTCAGTGTGCAAGGATAGTATTTTGCTATAAATAACTTGCCTTCAAATCAGTTTTCACATAGAAAACTGTCACAAATATTAAAAGCTCGTATTTACTTATAAAAAGTTACTATTTTACTTTTAAACTCCAAGTGTTGTAAAGTACTTTCTCCCCAGAATGAAAGGGTAGTTCAAGAAGAAAGCATAGCACCTGTAACATTTATCTTTTAAGGGAAAATTAATTGCAAGGACAACAGGTATACCTACATTTACTGTAGCCTTTTCAAGCTCTGCTTCGGAAGATGTAGGTGATAGGGGACTTATAGGACTTAGAGAGGGGGAGCTGTCCGCACTAGAAATGTAGTCTGGGTCAGGAACATACAAAATCTATAAAGAAGATATAATGTAGTTAGAAGTTGTGCTTCCAGGTTCACTTCAGATTTCTCACTAGTTGAGGTATATTTGCTATGCTTTCTCAAAATAAGTTATACAAAATCATTCCT